CCTCCTCTACTCTGCAGGCCCTGGGCACCAGACCCTACTAATCGGACCCTGCCTCCTCCTCTACTCTGCCTCTTCCTGATCCAGCCATCTGGGCCTTGGGTAGCTCTCTACCCAAGGGACACAGGTAGGGGCTACTTCCTCAGCAATGAGGGTGCTTTCCAGAGGCCTCGTGGCTGGGAAGGCTAGCTATTCAGAACTCAGTGGATTTCTCTGACCACTTAAGGAACCCCAGCAGGCTCTGATGCCACTGTGGTTGGTTTCCTGTGTTTGCCTGTTTTGTTTTTAAAGGTGTGTGTGTGTGCACAGAGGCCAGAGAGGGCATTGGCTATCCTCCTTCATCACTTTCCTTATCTTCCTTTGAGGCAGGTTCTCTACCCAAACCTGAGGCTCATGTTTTCTCAGCTAGTCCTGAGATCCGACCATTATCCTGCCTCCAAACACCTCAGAACTGTGGTTACCGCCATGCACAAGATGCTGGACCCTGAACTCTGCGACTCTGTATCCACACAGTGAGTACTCTTAACAGGGCAGGGAGAGACCTTGTCTATTTTGCTCACTGGTAGATATCCAGCCTGACCCTGCTGAATGAATGAATGAATGAATGAATGAATGAATGAATGAATGAACAAACGAATGAAAAAAGACAGAAGAATGAAGCCCATGGGGAAAGCAGAGAGAAAAGAGAAAATAAACATGTACCGGAATAATCAAGGTATTTTTCTAAGAGGCAATGTCCTCATCAGGTTCTCACAGAAGGAAGTGTGTCAGGGAGACACAGATGTAAGGCACAGCATGGGGGTGTGCGGGAGGGTCACAGCTGCAGGGAGCAAGCAGCTCCTCCTCAGGTATTACTAAGAAGCCCGCGTGGCCCCTACAGCTCAGTGGCTCCTGAACACAGGAAAGACAGAGGCAGACAGCGTTTCTGAGAGCTGCTGCTGCTTTCAACAGCTCTACAGAGAAAGGCTTGGAAGAGGTCGGGCGATAAGGAGGCCCTTGACAGGCAATCATGTCGACCCTGCAGATTTCAAGTCCTTAGTGAGCAATCAGACTCAAACGCCGCTGAATGAAGACCTCACCGAGTAACTGCTGTGGAATTTTGTGTGCGATCGTTTCCTTGATCAGAACAATCAAGGGAAGCACAGCAAAGAGCAAGCAACCAAACACATCTACATCTTAAAAACTAAACATTCTTTGTAGGCGGAGACAGGATAAAAATACAGCCAGAAGCTCTCCCTGATTGAGCAACCCTGGTCTCAACATCCCAAACACATCTAGTCCCGTGCATTTAGATAATGGTTACTCAACTTGGATTGATTTAAAGGCCCAGTTTAAAAAGGCCACCATCCTCCCCAGGCTCAGCTGGTCAGAAGCACAATGCCACAATAAGAATCACGACTGCTGTCTTGACAGTGAACTTGGAAAAATGGACAGGGAAGGTAGGCCATGAGGGGCCGGCCCAGCAGTAATGGAAGCAGAGCAGCTCTGTGAGCTCAGACTGGTGGTTAGAACTTGGTGCTGTCCGCCTGTCAGTGCAGCGCCCGGGCACTTAGGCATGGAGGCTCAAGAGTTCAAGGCCAGCCTGGAATGCATAAGAGATTCTCTCTCTCACATCAAGATCAAAATAATAATAAAGCGAGCAAGAAAGGTTGGGGAAGTTTCCGAAGGCCACGTTAAAATAGGCGGGAGGCAACCGAGAGATCTCTCTAGAACTCAGGATAAAATTTCTGATGCACAGAGAAGGCTGGGGCAGGACAGAGTGCTCTGTGTTGCTTTAAAAAGGGTCGTAATAGCAATCAAACATTATTTTAAGATTCACCATGGGAACAAATCTAATAAGAAATGCATGCCTTTATAAAGAAACTTGAAAGCTGCATGGAGACATACCCAGCCTGAGTTAAGTGGAGAAAAACTGTTCTTGGGTGGGAAGGTGTTCCCACGTCGTAGAGAGCTAGTATGCCCAACTAATGTACAGACTTTTTATAGTTTCGATTAAAATGGTTTTTTTTAATAAAGTTTTTATTACGTTTCTTTTCCATTATGTATGTATATATGTATGTGGGCATGCACATGGGGAGGTCAGAGGACAACTTTGGGGAACTGGCTTTCTCCTTCCATCACCTGGGAGCTGGGGCTTGAACTCAGGTCTCGAGGCTTGGCAGCAAGCACCTTTACCCACTGAGCCATCTTGGCGGCCCTCAATTAAAATCTTAATCTAGTCAATAAAATAGAACCAACTCATCTATAAGAGAAAATTCTTTTTTTTAATTGAAAATTCATGTTATAATTCTAATCATAATGTTCCCTCCCCCGTCTCCTCCTAGACCAAACCAACACCACCTTCTTTCTCTCTTTAGAAAACGGGCAGCTAAGCGTTAGAAAATGTGACGTCTGGGGCTGTTAAACTGCCTGTTCCACAAGCGTGGGGACCTGGGTTTGTCCCCAGCACCTATGTTAAGAGCCAGCTGGTGAGACAGCACCCATCTGGGACAGCAGTGCCTGGGAGAGAGGTTAGAAGGAAGCTCTCCCTACAAGCCAGCAGAGCTGAATCAGTAAGTTCCGGGGTCAGAGAGAAATCTCACAAACAAAAGCCAACACCAAAGAAAAGAAATAGGAAGTCGTTGCACATTGAGTGCCTTGTCCTGCCCTCTGGCTCCTTCACAGAACCTCAGCTTTGTCTTTTAAGTACTTTGGGTTTCCACTTTTTGAAGATTTGTTTTGTTTTTAAATTGTCTGTATGTTGCTTATGGTGCTGGGTGGGTGTGTGAAGGGGAGTACAGGTGTGCCCACTGAGGCCAGGAGGCTTCAGATCCCCTAGAACTGGAGTAAAAGGTGGCTATGAGCTGCCCAATATAGGTGCTGTGAACTGAACTCAGGTCCTCTGTAAGGGCAGCTAGTGTTCTTGACCACTGAGCCATCTCTCCAAACCAAGTGCTCTATATTTTAAAGATTTATTTATTTAGTATGTAATATCTGTATGTATGTTGTGAGCTGCCATGTGGTTGCTGGGAATTGAACTCAGGACCTCTGGAAGAGCAGTCAGTGCTCTTAGCCTCTGAGCCATCTCTCCAGCCCCAAGGGCTCCATAATTTTAAAAGCAATCTCAATCAACACTCGGCTCCACCTTCCACTCCTACATCAGTCAAGTCCATCAGATCCCTCCAGGTAAAATCCAGGCACAAATGCATTCTACTAGACCAGAAATCCCACTGAGCTGCCGGAGTGGAGACCAGCAGTTCCAGTCCACCCAGATGTTAGCATGCAAAAGAAACACTTGGGGAATCTGGTCAAAATACAGATTCTGATTCTAAAGACTACATTTCTAGTGACATCCCAAGCAGTGTCAGTGGCGTTGGTGGTCCCCATGAGTTAGAACTGAGCTTGGTGTTTGGTGTACCAGAATCACCAGAAGCCCAGCATCACCAAGGTTCGGAACGTGCTCTATGCCTCTGGTTTTGCTAATATCTCAGGTGATTCTGCTACTTGCACCAAAGTGTGAGAACCACTAACTTGAATGTTAAAGAAACAAGAGAGAAGGAGGGGAATGGAGAGACAGACAGAGGGATGGAAGAAGGACAGACACTATGGAAATTAGTATAGAGGGTCCTCAAAGACAAATAAACAAACAAATAAAATATGACCCAGCTTACCACCACTGGATTCCCACTTGGAGGCCTTCTAAGTCAGCATACCTCAGACATAACACATGCATCCATGCCAACCAATACCTTATTCACAATGCACAGAACCAGCCCAACACCACAGAGACACTTGGACATCCGTGCTGATTGCTACCCGATTCACAAGAGGTAGAACCATCCTAGATGTCTATCGACAGATGAACAAATTTAAAGAAAAAATGTGGTACATATATACAATAGACTTCTATTCCGACATAAACAAGAATGAAATCATGATGTACAGGAAAATGGATGGAACTGGACATCACTATGTTAAGTGAAATAAGCCAGATTCAGAAAGGTAATTTTTCCATATATGGAATCTGTGTGTGTGTGTGTGTGTGTGTGTGTGTGTGTGTGTGTGTGTGTGTGTGAGAGAGAGAGAGAGAGAGAGAGAGAGAGAGAGAGACTGACTTGAAAGGAGCACTAACAGAAGGGGGGCAGGAGGGAGGTGACAGAAGAGATGAGATAGATGTGACGCAGAAGGGCCATGTGAAGAAAGAAGGGAACCAAGAAGAGAGAGCAGGAGAGGCAACAAGGGTCGTTGGGATGAATAAATAAGAATAAATTATGTCTGAAAATGCAACAATGAAACACATTACTTTGGAACCTAACCAAAAAAAAAAAAAATCAATTGAAAAAAGAAAGAAATCTGTGAGCGCCACATCCCAGGAAATTCCATAATGACCCTAATGACCAAACCTAAAACAAAGGTCATCTACATAAAAGAGCACATGACAAGCAGGAAGAGTAACAGTGTGTAAACTCAGGACATAAATTAGTTTCTCAAAGCAGGTAGGAACAGGATTCCTACAGATCAGCTTTCACTGGGAGAGAGCGCAGAGAGATTCAAAGGGCGCTCGGACACCTGGTCGACCTCCTGGCCCAGAGGATTTCAGGTGAGAGGAAGAGCGGAGAAAGTCCTTTTAAACCTGAGCTCTTAGAGGCGAAGTCTGGGTTCTGTGAAGAGCCGCAGGGAAAGGCAAGGGCACTCAAGGGGAAGAGCAAAACCACCAGAAAGGCTTTGGAATGACAGCCAGGACAAATGGAACGCAGGCTAAGCCTTTGCCTGAGGGCATCGCCGAGCTTTTCAAGGGGGGGTGGGGGGGGCGGTTCACCCTCTTTCTTTGAGTCCCCAGTCACAGGCTGCTCACCCTGCCTAGACGCTGAGGTCTGAAGTCTGAGCCTTTGGCTCAGATGACAGTGTGGATCTGTGGCTTCTCTCTGGATTTTTACTGATATTTATACCACGTCTCTGGGACAAAAGTTCAGTAAGGCTACTCTGGAGTCTGTCACCCAAAGCCCTTCTGGAAAGAGAGGGCTGGGCACGTCCTTCAGATCCCAAGATTTCAGCTTGAGTCCTGAACAGTCATTAAAATAAATGAAAGACGGGAACAGCACAGCATAAAACGGTAATGCAGGGGATATCAAAGAGCTAATTGACACACAGATAAAAGGAATACAATCCAAACTGAGTCCTGGAGGTCCATGCCTTTGTCCTTCCTTCTCCCAACTCAAAGACTTCAATTACTATTTAACATTTATTCATTTACCTATTTGAGTCCTGGTTATTATGGAACTCACTATGTATACCAGGCTGGCCTTGAATTTATGAAAGCTGGCCTGCCTCTACTTCCCAAGTGCTGGAATTAAAGGTGTGCAACACTACAACCTTCTTAATCCAAAGATTTACCTGACAACAACAACAACAACAACAAAACCAGCTAATGGGTCTCCTGGTGTTATCTACCCCTAGGTCTCCTGTACTTCTGACAGAAGGGGTGGAAGCTGGGGCACCGTCACCAGAGCCCTCGATGATGAAGGATGTAGGTGAGCCGGCCAAGATCTAATTTGGGGGTGTTATAAAGTGCTGGAGTACTTATCAGGAATGCTGGGCTGAAGCGTCCATTCAGTTAGGAATAGGAATGATTGAAAAGGCCAGTTTGGGAGCTATGATGGTTCATCACCCTTGTCAACTTGAATGGCATTAGGGGGACTTAGGAAACATGTTTCTAGGGGTAGCTGTGGGGGTGTTTCCAGAGAGGAGAACTGGGAACAAATGGTCCACACTGATGTAGACAGCATCATCGCATGCACTGGGGTCTAGGACTGAATAAAAACAGGAAGAAGCAGGGTGGGGGGGAGATGAGCTGAACGTGAGGATTCACCTGTTTCCTAACTGTGGACGCGGTGTGACCGGCTGCCCCGTGATCCTGCCACCACGCCCTCCCCACTGTGATTGACTGAACCCTCAAACTGCGAGCCAAAAATCAACTCTTCTCCCCTTCAGTTCCCATTTGCCAAACATCTTATCACAGTAATGAGAAAAGTAACTGACTTAAGAGATACTGCATGCTCCCCCATCCCAGCATGCTCCCCCATCCCAGCTTTGCCATTTCCAACAGCCTCAACCTTGCCTTGACTGGGGAAACTGGACCGACACTCATTCCTCCACGGAAACAGAAACCTGTGTTTCAGGTCTCCATCTCAGGTCAGATCTAACCACTCAGCACTTAATCTGCCGGGTTCCAATGCTACATCTACTATGGCTACCTGCCTTCAAACGGCCCAGGAACTCCCCCACAAGGTACACAAAGCAGCAGTACCTCTTCAAATCCAAATTTCTACCAAGCAAGGGAATGGGCAATGTCCTCCTCCCACCCCAAAGGATCAATGTTGGGACAACTTTCTCTTTTTCCAGCCAGGTACATCGGGCATCCACTCGCTATAGTCATCAAGCTCTGGGGGACTACCAAGATGGTCTGTTTTTACAGGAATGTTGAGAACCCAGCCTCTTCACAGAACCAAGCTGGAGGAAGGCCAGCCTACAGAGCAGAGTGCAAACTCTCCTTGCTTGCTCCTGGCTGAGAGTGAATAGGAGAGACGTGGGTCGTGGGCAGTGCTCAGGCCCCTGGGCAATACAAAAGCTATCTGCTCCCAAGTCAAACAACCTACCACACTCCAGATGAACCAAGAACCCCCTCCCAGCAAGCTCCTGTCTCCTGATTCTTACTTATGCAAACCAACAAAGCCTTGTTATAATACTATAAGACGTCCACACCCTGTGGCATCTCTACATTGTGGAAGCCTGCCCCTACCACTCAGTCTACATTAGCACCTTCACCCGCAGCCACTCTAGAGGGCAGTCTTCTTCCCTCAAATGCACTGAGGGTCATCTGTATAGTCCCACTTGACTGGAAGTGGACAGGTCTTTAGGCCTTAGAGCTTGGTCATTTCTGACATTCATTCCTGTAGCCTGTGCCTAGGAAAATTATAAACACCTATTTCCTTATTTAAAGGGAGTGGGGGTCTTTGTAACAATTCTAAGCACAGTTTCTTTCCTTTAAAAAGATTTATTTAATAAGCAATAAGAATAACAGTGTGTGTGAACTCAGAACATAAATTGAGTTTCTCAAAACAGGTAGAAACAGGATTCCTAAAGATCAACTTTCACATGGAGAAAGCACAGTGAGATTCAAAGGGTGCTCGGACACCTGGCTAACCTCCTGGCCAGGAGAGGATTTCAAGTGAGAAATGGATGTAGCTATGGAGGCCACAAGCACTGAATCCCCCTAAAGCTGGAATTACATGCAGTTGGGCATTGCCTGACATGGGGGCTGAGAACTGAATTCAGGTCCTCTGGGAGAACAGTGTGAACACAGAACTACTTAGCCGTCTCTCCAGCCTCTCTGAACACATTTTCAATGCACAAGTGAATACGTTCTATCTACAGCAATCCTAGGCACATTACTGCCTCTCAACACTAAGGAGAGATCTCTAAAGAACATTAAAACAATGCAGAATTTCATCCTAGTTCTCAAAACACACAAAATTAACCTGAGGTTACCTTAGAGAACAAGTAATGATTTGTATCTGTATCATTTATTAACTAATTATGTGAATATGTGTTAACTAATTATCTGTCAGACAAATGCACACATGCACATAGATCCATGCACACATACACAGAGAGCCAAAACATAGATCTGTATTAAAGATTCCAGTTTTAGTTTTAACTACAGTGACTAATTACTTCCACCTGATCCTCTCTCTGCTCCATAAGACCCTTCTCCAGACTCTATGTGTTTACTTTTAATCTCTTGGAGAAGAAATATCAAGTAATAAGAACATATTGGTTTAAAAGCAAGATTACATCTTGAAGAAATGTGAGATTTGATTTCCCATATGTGTTCACTGGCCAGGTCAAAAGCTCAAACCCCAGCCAGAATGTAAGCGGTTACCTCAAACAGTGAGTGATGGAGGTGTTCTGCTCCACATCAACAGAGAGGTCCAGAAAATCTTCATCTTTGCTACTCACCTGAAGCAAAAAACAAAAAGGGGAGGGGTTAGGTACACAGCGGACATGGCCCTTAAAACTTTGAGCATTTACGGGTGACCTGACATGTGCCAGCACTAAAGGTCACATGTGGTTCCGACTGCTCAGCAAACCAGTGACTTCAGAACATCCCAACCAATCCCAGATTCCCAATTCAACCTCATCCCTTTCCTAACTCTGATTCAAAACCTAGTAACTGAAACTCAACCAGGTTTCTCTTCCTCTCCAGCCATGTTCCTCATTGTTCTGACAAGCATCTATGGAGCCCATGCTGACAGAAGATGGAGACAGAAAAAGGACAAGCAATAAGAAGCCTCCATCCAGATGGTGGCCCTTCACCAAGTCCAGTCCATTGATGTCACTCCCTTCCTCCAGCGCCCTGTCAAGCCCTGTGGGACCAGGGAACTAGACTGTCATGCTAATTCCCATCAAGCTGTCCTTTGAAAGTGGTCACCGTGTGCAGAATCCTGTGCTGTCATCCCTGAGCTGGTCACACAGCCCATCATGACAAGGGCCACTCTCAGGCAAACCAGCTCACTGGTCCCGGTTGCTCCTTAGGACGTCACATGTCTGTCAAAGCTCACCAAGTGACTACTTAGACTCCACTCAACAACAACCCTGAGGTTTTACAGTTTTGCTGGTGGCGTGGGAGGAATGAGCTGACCCAGCCACAAACTTGAAATGTTCAGTCAACTATGGCAAAATGAAGATCACATTCGTGTAAAAGAGCAACTACTCCGTAACCACAGATTCTAGGAAAGGAAATGACCTAGAGAAGTACTCAAAGTCGCAGACATGCTCTCTGATACTATTATGGGTAAACATAAAAATGGGACTGCTCCTGCTGCCTATGAAGTGGATGAATTGAGGCCATTACTTAGACTCTCTATACCTCAGTTTCTTCGGTGGGCTAGGAAGGACACCATCTAAGACTATATTGTAAGATATAATATATGCAAGAGCTCTAACAAGTAACTGTTTAGGGCTGGTTTGTGGAACATTCTTATCCCAGGACTTGGCAGACAGAGGCAGGTGGATCTCTGTGATTCTGAATCTACATAGCAAGTTCCAGACTGGCCAGGGTTGCGTAGAATCCTAATCTCTAGCAACAACAAAAAGCTGGATGTAGTGGTGCATGCCTTTAATCCCACCATTTAGGGAGCAGAGACAGGCAGAGTTTGAGGCCAGGCTGGTCTACATAGAGAGTTCCAGGGCAGCCAAAGCATTCAGTAAATGGAGGAGAGGTAATATGTTTAATGGCTTAAAATGTTCACAGAGCTAGAAATGGTTTGCTACATGGTAGTTACATTAAATGAAAAAAGTAGGCTACACAATTCTGTTCACTAACTCTCAGTCTGTTTAAAAGGTATGGACAGCCTTTCTGGCTCCCTGTCACCTGCTTTAACTGTGAAGAGCATTTACCCCTGCTGTGGTGGAAGCCATCCGCGCGCGCGCGCGTGTGTGTGTGTGTGTGTGTGTGTGTGTGTGTGTGTGTGTGTGTGTGTGTGTGTGTATGAGAGAGAGAGATTTTGAGACAGTGATTCACTATGCAGTCAAGCCTGGCCTTGAACTGAATTCTTGATCCTCATGCCTCAGCCCCGTGAGTGCTGGGATTCTCGAGGATTGTAGACAGGTAGCCATGCACCAGAGCACCCAGCTGTTTGCCCTTTCTTGAATCCCAGTGCAGCCCTGTAACTCGGCTTGGCCAGGGGAGACTTTAGAAGGCACATTATAAGCAGAGGCTTGGACAAACATTGCTAAAACTGCTTTCCCTTTTTTAAAAATTCATTTTATTTCATGTGTATGAGTGTTTTGCCTACATGTTTTTCTGTTCATTCCATGTGTTTCTGGTGCCTGCACAGACTAACAGAAGGGGTCGGGTACCGGGAACTAGAGTCATAGACAGTTGTAACCCACCATGTGGGTTCTGGGAATCGAACCTGGGTCCTCTGAAAAAAAGTAGCCAATGCTCTTAACTGCTGACTTGTCTCTCCAGCACCATGAAACTGCTTTCTTATACTTCTGCCATCACCATAAGAATGCTAAATCCAGGAGCTGGGTGTTGGCGGCACACGCCTTTAATCCCAGTATTTGGAGGCAGAGGCAGGCAGATTTCTGTGAGTTCAAGGACAGCATAGTCAGGGTGAATTCTAGGACAGCCAGGGCTACATAGAGAAACTCTTTCTTTCTTCCTTTCTTTTTTTTATTTAGTTTTTCGAGACAGGGTTTCTCTGTGTAGCTTTGCGCCTTTCCTGGGACTCACTTGGTAGCCCAGGTTGGCCTTGAACTCACAGAGATCCGCCTGGCTCTGCTTCCCAAGTACTGGGATTAAAGGCGTGCGCCACCACCGCCCAGTGAAACTCTTGAAGGAAAAAAAAAAGCCCAGGCTGACCCTGCATTCAGGAAGAAAGCAGAAGACCCCAGGAACTGGGTCTCAACTCTGACACTCATCTGAAGCAAAGCCCCCAGCCAACTTATGACACAGGAATAAGCCAGCCTCAGCCAAGTCCAACCAAATGAGCTGACCCTAAGCCAACACGTACTACAGGAGTTACAGTAACACGTGACTGCTGCACTCCAGCCTCAGAGCTATGAGGGTACTAACGGCAAACAGAGGATTGATAGTACGACAAAACATTACGTATTTTCTACGTATTTTCTATTTTCCTTACTAAAGCTCGGGAAGGTTGGCTTTGATGGTAACTAAGATCCTAGTTTATTAACAAGCTTCCAAAAAGCTATAAATCCCTGCAGGTAATTATATACTCAGGTAACCATCCATGAGAAGAGGCCTCAAAAGGTGTTAGAGAATGAATATAGACAATACCTTCCTGAAGGAAGAGTTGTACAGAATGACAGATAGAAAGGGATCATGGGTCGCTATCTTTGCCTGGGTGTCTATTGGGCAAAATGCAGTCTTTCTGGTCTGAGGGTGAGGAGACTCGAATCTGAGAAATTATGTTCACCAGGAAGGAGCAAGTCTGAGATCGTTCTTCAGATTTGCCCACACCTGACTGACTACTGAGCTCCGCATGCACAGAGCACCCTCAATGCACTCAGCAGACCCAATATTCACACTGCCACCCAACAGGCAGAATTTCTGGTTTCAGTCCAAGATAAACAAAATACAAAAACTAAGGAAAACTAGTATTCATTGAAGAAGAATAACAGAATCCAGAATCTCTGCAACTTAACATCTCAGGGTCCTTGACAAGACCCAAGCTTACAGCACACAAAGAAATGGGAAAATGGAAGACATTCTAAGACAAGGAAAAACCGACTGAGACCAACCCTGGGATGACCCAATGTTAGGATTAGCAGCCCAGGATTTTAAAGAGAAACCCCTCTAAACTCAATCCAATACCATGGAAAGAAAGAGGAAAAGGAGAACAAGCAAACAAAGACACTTATATCCATCTTCAGCAAAATAAAAGAAAACACACTTGTGGCAGGGCATGGTGGCACAGGCCTTTAACTCAGCACTTGGAAGGCAGAGGCAGGAGGTCCTCTATGAATTCAAGGACAGCCTGGTCTACACATCTTTCTAGGTCAACCAGGGTTATATAGTGAGACCTTGTCTTGAAAACAAAAACAAAGTGAGTTCCAGGGCAGCCAGGACTACACAGAGAAATCCTGTCTCAAAAATAAAGAAAGAGAGAAAGAGAGGAAGAAAGAAAGATGCTTGTAATAAGTTAAAAAATGAGTCAGGTGGCGGTGTACACCTTTAACCCCAGGACTCAGGAGGCAGAGGCAGACAGATCTCTGTGGGTTTGAAGTCAGCCTGGACTACAGAAAGAGTTCCAAGATGGCCAGAACTACATAATAAAAGAGATCCTGTCTAAAATAAAAAAATAAAAAATAAAAAAACAAGGGGGGGGGTGAGGCAGACTAGAGGAAAAACAAAAACAATAAAATAGAAATCACAGAAATTTATAGAACTGAAAAATAAATGGGATGAATCTCCAGCAAACTGGAGATTGAGGGGAAGGGGTTACATGAACTTGACCTATCAATGGGAATTATACAGTCATAGATAAAGGAGAAGGATTAACAAATGTTCAGGGGCCTTTGGAACACGACTATACAGACAGCCAGAGCCCTGGAAGAGGGCAGAGAGAGAACTAAGTATAAAAAACTATCTGAGAAATAATGACTGAACAGTGCCTTGGTTTGATGAAATGTATACATATAAATAAATTCAAGAAACTCAACAATCACCAAGCGAGACCAGAAACAAAGAATGCCTGTCAAGAAATATCAAAGACCAATTGTCAGGATCCAAAGACAAAGAGCAAGTTATAAGTATACAGAAGGAAAAAAGAAGCATTACATCCAGGACAATGATTCAAGCAGTAGTTGAGGTATCACCCACGGAGGTCAGAAGACAGTGAAACACCATCTTTAACATGCCCAAAGAAACCTTATCAATGCAGAATCTTTACATGTCACAAATAAACCCTTCAAGAGCAGAGGCAAAAGGAAGAGAATTCTTTGTTGTTGTTGTTGTTGTTGTGTTGTTTTGTTTGTTTGTTGAGACAGGGTTTCTGTGTAGCCCTGGCTTTCCTCGTACTTGCTCTGTAGACCAGACCACAGACTCAGAGTTTGGCCAGCCTGAAACTAGTGGTGATGGTGGCAACAGTCATCATGATGGTATTGGTAGTGGTGGTGATGATGACGGTGGTGGTGGTGATGATGGTGGTGGTGGTGGTGATGATGATGGTAGTGATGGTGGTGGTAATGGTAGTGATGGTGATGATGATGGTAGTGATGGTGGTGGTAATGGTAGTGATGGTGATGATGGTGGTGGTGGTGGTGGTAGTGATGATGATGGTGCCGCTTATAGTTAAAGGCAGATTCGCAGTTTAAACATGCATATTCATAGACAGAAGAGCAGTGCTGTTGTTAAGTGCTCTTCTTAGTACCTGACATCATTTCCAGTGTGCAACAGGTACCCAATAAATATATACTACATGAATTACTCG